AAATGATATTTAATTTATAAAAAGAACTAAGAAGGCTTCTTTATCTTGTATAGATATTAGGTTATTTTGAAGTAGGAGACTTGAAAAATGAGCAATGTACTCGCCGGGACTCGAAGCTGGATCTCTCGAATACGCGCCGAGTTTGCTAACTGTTACACCACGAAGGCATGCTGAAAGGAAAGAGAAAATTATTCGTATACAGTCTGTGTGTACGTTTAGAAGTATAGTTGAGAAATCTAAAAGTCACATTTCTTAAATGTCGAAAACCCAGCAACGACCGATTAGTAGAATCGCTGAACACTGATAGTTCGGACTTGGGTTCGAGTCCACGGCGTAGGCCAGCTGCAACAGCACTTTCGTCGTTTTTTCCATGTGTTGAGTGTGTACGAGCAGTAAGTCCCTTAGAAAGTCCTCCATGAAGGCATCCTTTCCCTTAGGCAGATAGCCCTGGTGTGCTTTGCCATAATCAGTTAAACCAAACCAATCTTAAATGACGAGGCTTCTTATAAGTACTCTGATACATTTTTGGCGTTCAATGGCACTTCGCTAACTTCCTGATAGGTCTGAATTTATACGAGGGAAACGGGGTACCATGGTAGGTCTCCATAACCTTTTATAATATTTAAAATGCATAAAATCTTAAACACTTTTTTTTAACTCCATATTTTAGAAATTTAAAATTAGGAATAGGGGAAAAATTATTTTGGTAATTCCTCTCCTCTTTTTCTCATCTTTTGGTAATTTCTCCTCCTTTCCCCTTTTTTATTCTTTTTTCAAAAATCAGACAGTGGACCTTGTAGTCTCTAATTCAGTTCTCGGCTTCTCAATAAAACTATGAAGATTTTAGATAATTTTCTACAAACAGTTATATGTGGTAATGATATCTTCTAGTAACCGTTAAATCAAATGTGTTGCTTTGAAATTAAATATTCTTAACAAATGTTTTGAAAATGTGTTATTCTATTTCGTTCTTTGTTCACTGAAATAATTCACTTCGTATATCTTATATTTAGGTAAATTTTATCACAGGTACAGGTAAAAGTGGGCGGGACACCAGGAATTCACCATTGGTCATGCAGTATGCTAGGAGGAAGGGTTTTACCCAGACCTGGCTAGCATTTAAGCTGCCTTACAGATTTAAAAGCCTCAACCCCCTAGACTCCATCCAAAGAGGCATATTGCCCCGGTCAAACCAAAGGGACAATTTTTTTTTTCACACAGTCTGGGTTTAAGCACACAAAGTCAAAGGTAGACGCCAGCTCATCCACCTAAAATCAGAGACAGCACAATTAGACATTGACCTTTTCCCAGTGCTGACCAAGCTGAATCAAACACCCAAGGACAACCTCCGATATCTGACCATGTAACGTCCCCACAACCAAGGGGCAGATAAGACCATATGGTCCCTGCCGAGCCCGAACCTGCCACCGAATAAACGATGGTTCTAGTCACTGTGAAGACTGTTAATTTTACCCCAGAAGTCGAGTCTGTCTAGGTACTAGTCCTAGCCAGAATGCCGGGGGTCCAGCCTCACTAACTCTCCATTTCCTCCTCATTTTGAGACACAATAACCGAAGAAGGATGATCTGAAGGTCTACAGCCGCTTTTTCCCATGTATTTTGAGTAATTCCATCGGTATGGCATTTACTGTCACTAATCACTTTCAGAACTTGAACTTGAAACTAACTTACAGAGCCTGAAACATAATAGAGTAGCTTGGCGGAAGGAAAAAGTTATAATAGATAATTGTTGCGGAAGATAGCCTTTAAAAGATTTCACTCATCAGACTACTCCTTTTGTTTTATCCCCAGTGAAACACTCAGCCTCTCTGGCTGGTTGAAACTTTCAGTTCAATACTTAGGCAGGCTGCTACCTTATTTCCTTTGCAATATTACTGCATTTTTTGCACAGTGTATTGTTCACTTCTGCTACAAAGTGGCAATATACCTGGATCGGAAGACAACGCACCATTTTTACGTCCCTAGCTACTATACCAGCTGGGATGCTAAATTTTATCACAGCCGAAATGGGCTGATAACAAATGCACATTTTCTCATCGAAAGAATTAAGTTGGCGGACACATTTTTCTAGGGAAAATAATTTGGTGTGTTTTGTCCATAACGAAAAAAATCCGAAAATGTTTAAATAATCCAAATACGGTTAGGTTAGGTTAAGTTATTTAATTATGGCAAAGCCTCGAGGGCTATCTGCCTAAGGGGTGAGGGATGCCTTCGTGGAGGACTTTCTAAGGGAAACTGGCTCGTATACACGTTACACATGGGGAAAACCACGAAAACACCCATGCAGCCAGCCCGTTCGCGGGATTCGAACCTCAGACCGACTACCAGTGTTCAGCGACTTTTACCGCTCGGCCGCTGGTGGGCATATAATCCAAATACGAGGCTAGATTATATGAAATCATAACTTATTTCTCTTCATAATAATATTATGCACAAAAAATAGATTTTTCTCGCAGAATTAATTAAAATTTTTCTTTAACGCAATACTGCGCAATCAATTAAAATTTTTCTTAAATAATATTAATACATCTGTTACAACATTTGACTTTATATGTAACTAATTTCTTTAGATGCATCTATATGTAAGATAAAAAATATTTCTAACTTTAATTTGCAATAGTCCCTTACGTTCTCGTGTTTAATTTGGTTGTTTCCTCTTTATATATTATAAAAACCTGTAACATGCTTAAAATAAGCTTTTTTAAGCTGCGTCATTTCAAAATTAATTCCTCATCATATGATTTTTATTCCATTCGAATGATGCATATATTTGCATAACGCTTCGGCCAATAATACTACTAAATTTTTCGATATTAGTCAACAAGAATAAAATGAGAACTTTATTACTCTTAACCTGGTCTTCGAAGTATAATTCGTGAATTTCGCCGCTTCTTGCAGGTTGACGCGGTTACTATTTCTTTCTTAATAAATGTTACTAAAATGCGAAAAGTACCAATGTTACTCAGTATTATAAAACTAGGAACACTTTTTACGTCGATTTTGCCATGTCTGCATCAAAAATGTTTTCTCAATAAAAGAAGCTTTAAATTAGCCATGATTTCAACTATCTCTTCGTGAATTGTCTTTCATCGTTAGGATGTCATTAGCGTCATCATCAAAAATGATTTTATTACATATATATATGTATATTTAATAATAATTATTTATTTTTAATTTTATATATATATATAATTATATATGCATATTGTATGATTACATATATTATAGGAATATATTTGAATATAAAACTTAGCATTCATATAACGCCCCCCAACCCCGATTAGAAAGATACCAATTCCTTCGGCGAAGTTATGTTTATAATGTATTTAATACATGTAATATATAATGTACAATGCATGTAAATATATGACATATAATGCTCGACTGTGTAAGCCTAGAAACGTATAAAGGTTATTTTTATGTCTATTTATTTTCAAATATTTCATACCTAAAAGAAACATCTTCAGCATACATTTCTTCTGATCGGTATTCTTAATTCTAATTTCAGACGTGGTCGCGTTAAAGACCACGTCTGAAAGTGCTCACCATTTTTGAAGATATAAATAAAGGTTTCACGTTTGTTTGTTTGTTAACGCATGTTTACTATCACTTCGTCGGCTCTCACCAGGATGTAAATTGGTTAATATATGTATAAGAATAGAGTTCGGAGAGCATTTGTTAGCTATCGCTCACCTTTCTTCGTACTATTAACATAAAGCTCTTAAACCAGTGTTTCTCAACTGAATTACTTCAAGGACCGGTAAAATATTTCGGTACCTTCTCGCGGACCGGTAAGTTTAATAATTCGACCCATTGCTACAAGTTTTGGACAGGTAGCTGGATTTTGGACAGATAGCTGGATATTTTGAGGACCCGCAAATATTTCTTGCGGACCGGTGCCTGTCCGCGGATTGGCGGTTGAGAAACCTAGTCTTAGACTACCTGAATCGGCTTCAGTCATTTGCTAGTGTTCTAATTTGTACGTATTTTCGCACGCGGTCAGAAAACGTGAGCCAAAGGTTATAGTAGGACTTTGCATTGTGAATTGCATACTATTAATTATTTAAATTTGACCTTAACGTTATATGTTTTAAATCTCTCAAGCAGTTATGACTTATTTTTTGCTTGAAATCTTCTCCTGAGTTTGCACCTATTAATCTGGCAGCGTTAGATAAGGCGATAAATCTCCTGACTGTCTACAAGGAGCCAGAAAACATTCACAACCGTGAAATTAAATCACTTAACACAGAGAAAAAGATTGCCTTCGGGAGAAGGTTTTCCTGCATTTTGTTCTCAATGGCTCTATATTTATTATCAAATCTCTGAATCAGGGATGTATAAAATAATTTTTAAAGTTATGTGCATGTATAGAAGTATTATATTGGTTGATCGAATTTCTTACGTATCCGTGTACCTTCAAGAAAATTTATATACATATAATTTACGTACATTTATATACAAGTTATGCCTAGTTATATCCTCCCTTCGCTTTGCTACTATTTATATAAAAGCTGTGCTCTCATTTTATACTTGGTATATATATACATTTTATACTCTATGCTTTTATCTCATTTTATACTATATTTTATACTTTCACTTAATGTCTTCGCACCTGACACTAATAAAAATTACGTAAGTTTTTTACTTATAAATAATAACCCTGCCAGTATACTATATTGACCATTACACCATGTGCTATAGTTATGCACTATACAGAATACATTAATTTAAATTTGGCATTACAAATATAGCTCCTTATGTTGCTTTAACATGTTAAAAGAAAAGTTATTTTAATATTCATAACTTGATAAAACCACTTAAGAATAGTAATTTATCGTAATAAAAGCACAAAATGTATTACGGCGTACTAAAAAGTTATTTACATTTAAAAGAATCTTCATCATTTCGTAGTCAATCTGAATTACAAAAATATTTGTAAAAGCATTTCAAGCAATTATTAAGAGAAGAGAGAGACCTTACGTTCAAAATTGGCAGATTCTGAGGAGACCACGCTCAGTAAACAAGAGAGTCCGAAGAAAATAATCCTACAGGTATCCACAAATTGGAAGCAGCATCTTCTGGAGCACATCCTAATGTTGAGGGACACATGGAAAGAAGAAGACACAACTGCGAATCATTGCGAAGGCCGCGAAGACCAAGAATTTATAAGCTCGTACGCAGAGAGGCCAGTATCCCAAAAAACCGGATTCTTCTTCGCTCTCTCCCTCTTCCTTTCCTTCTCATTTCACTGTTCGGGGATGATTTGCACATTTGACGTAGTGATGACTCTCTTTTTTTACTTTTCCACATGGTTAAGGTATTAAAAAGAAAGCTGAGGATAGCGATCATAACTTCTTGCACGTGAAACGGATTCATTATCAGTTGTTCCAAAGAGATAGCGTGTTTATGCCTTTCTCAACAGTTTTATCACAGAGAAAACATTAAAATAATTTTTATTTTTAGAGGAAATTCGAAGTAAATATTATTGCAAATGTAATCCATGGTATTTTAGCCTCAGTAATTAAATAGTATGCTTAGTAATCAAAAACAAATTATCAATGCTTTTGACTACGTTTCTGTCGAAAACATGTTTTAAGTCACATTGTTCTTCTGATCAATCACTTGGCAAAAGAACTAGTTAGCCATTTGCTGTCATTGTGATGAGTTGAGTGGTATATTTAATAATCGAAATCCAATTGCTAATACGGTTTTCAAGTGCAGAATATTATTCTTTTGATTCATGTGTATCAGTTCATATCATTCAGTTGCAGTCCATCTTATTTATGATACCCCTCCTCTACAGAAGGTGCTAGATCTAGTTTAATTCAGTTTACTTTTTATCATAAAAAATTCTTTTTTTTTTTCTTTTTAATTTCCCGTTTCATTGATTTATCTTACCCAAGCACGGCTAATTTTTATCACAAATTTTTATATTTAGAGCTATGATATATGAATTGATATTACTTGTCAATTTATATTAAAAGAGACTTTTCGACATTTATATGCAATTTTTATTAAACATATTAAAAAGGACTTCTCGGCAAACCTTACATTGAAAAAGAAACGCAGTCAAGCTTAGCTTACAATGGTATTTTCTCCAGCGTGTCTTCGTGGTATAACGGTAGCACACTCGGCGCGTATTCGATAGGTCCAGGTTCGAGTCCCTGAGAGGGCAATGCACATTTTTCACATGTCCTGCTTCAAGATAACCTAATGACTCTACACTATTCTTAAAAAACAGAATGTCTCTCTCTTTCCTTTTGTTTCTGAATAATTTGTAAACCTTAAAAGTTCAATCTAATATCATACTCTTATTGTAACTTGTTTAATCGAAAAATGGGTTTACTATGTAAAAAGCTGGAGTTGGTTGATTCAATTATTTTTTATTAATTATATTATTTTTCAATTCTTTCCCAAATATGGTATAAAGGAGAAAACTTAAGGAGAGATAACTTATGAAGCTTCTTTTATCAAAAGTAAAAAAAGTGTTTTTATTAAATACAATGCTTCAAATTAAATCTAAAAATCCCAAATATAAAGTTCATTATTTATTCGTGTATTCGTGCTGTTTTCCTTCAGTCAAAATAAGCTGTCAGGCTGGGTGTTATGAACATTCTTAAATCCTTATCATACGTACACACACACACACACAAAAAAAAAAAAAAAAAAAATCATTATAAAGCATATTGTTATTTATTTTACAATGTGTAGCAAAGTCTGTATTTTTCTAAGGGTTACAGTTCGTACAATTTTAAGCAAAGTAATATTTCTCAAAATATTTTTATAACACTGGTAACTATGCAAATTGCGTTTAATTAAAAATTCTTCTTCCAAGATTACGGAAAATATTTTGAGTTGGTGAATTACATGGCTGCATTTATATAAAGTTACTATTTTAGTAAGTCATTCAACTTTGCGAATGTTTCAGTGTCTAATATTTTTAAAAGCTTTCCTTTTCACTTAGAAATTTTTCGATAATGATGTGAAATATGCAAAATTAATGATTACAATTTATCTGTAATATATGTTTTGTTTACAAAACAACAAAAGTTCATCTTGTAAAACTGTCGTGATTTGCTGTAACATTTTTCCCATTTTGTCTGTCTACAAGGTGATCTTTAATGTTTTATTTTAAAAATATTATATTCCAAAACCTTGCATTATGATTCACTTATAAGATTCCTTTATGTTAATCAACCAGTTACTTTATATTTTCGGTCTTTACTGTTACTTCTTCCTTCCGTATTCCCACCAGAAGGCAGTTACTAGGCTGCCAGATAAGATAAAATCTGTAGTCTTCGACCTTGCATTATAATTGCCTATAGTTGGTATCCACGCCGGTTAAGTTTTGAGCCAGTTTCGCGTTAAGAGATCTCTATAGCCTTTGGCTACTAGTTTATTTGAATTTGAATTTTACATTTGAACTTACTGTTATTCTTAGGTTATCTCGCCGCAAGTGGTTGCCTGAGTACAAAGTGTGCCTTCTTTTCTTATTTAATTTTAAATAAGGGTCTTTTACACTCTTTTAAAGTTTCAGCTTTTACTTTAGATTTGGCGATAATTCTCTGCCAGTCTGCCTAAAGTTTAGTTACAGTTTATGATTGCCAAGAAGGCTCTTAAACTTTATACTTTCTAATAAAAACTACTCATTGTTCGAAATCGTCAAAACGAAGTAGAATCTTTCTTATGACATGTAAGACAGAATAGTCATAGATAAACAGCTCGAATATGCATGTTGACCTGGAATTCCTTAATCAAAAATCACGCATATTAATTGATAATCTCATTCTTTTCAGGCAGCTCGTAGATTTCTATTATCAGACTTTATTTCAAAGTGCAACGCAATATTCCAAGAGCCAAGAATCATGCGTGAAAGAATCAGATCATCGTTAAATCTAAGGTCAAGAGGAAGTTCCTCAATTTATGAAGATCTAGCTACAGATTCTAGTAGCGCATTTTCCCGTGATGCTAAGTGTTCATGAAATTCTAATTCCTTTTGAAATTTAGAAATTATAATGGCACCCTGAAAAGAAGGTAAAATTAGAAAGTAAAATTTGAAAATTAGATAATCTCCCTCGAACATATGCTTCGCATAGCTTAAGAAAACTGAAGTATTTTGTGAAAAATGCACACAGTCATGGCCAAATTCAAGTTCAAGAATGGTTTTGTTTCTGGGTGATTGATTTCTTTCGACGCTTCTCAATGCGCCATTACCTTTAAAATTTTACCACCAGTGGCCAATCAAGTCAAGAATGGTGTGGGTGATTGATTTCTTTCGACGCTTCTCAATGCGCCATTACCTTTAAAAATTCTTACCGAAGACATCGCTTCTCGCAATGGAAAGCATCCTGAGTGTTAATAATTATGCCATATATAGTTAACTCAGATGGACCCCTTACCACAAGTCGAGATCAAGTATCTTCATATTTTATTGACATAGCTTTAAGAAGGGAGTTATATTGGACTAGTTGAAACCTTCATTGTACCTAAAAAATCAGCAATATCTCAAGCAGCAGCAGAAGAATATGTGATTATTATGTAAGGATAAAACTCGAAACCAATCTTGAAAAATGTTTCTAACTTGGCTTAAAGAAAACAAATTTCATTGAACTTCAGGCCTGTAACTGTCTGCTATTTTTCAAATGATTTTCCTGAAGATTTTCATTTCCGGAGATTTTCCTGAAGAAAATGGCGAAAAATATGCAATGGTGCCCGAAAGGCCGCACTATGTCAATGCGGGAATATATTGTCCTACTGGTGACATCGAGTCCTGAGGAACTTTGGATGGAATGCGTTTTTTAACTGGAAAACACGTCGCCAATGCGAGCTTGAAACGTTCTGTGCATTAAGTTTGAATTGATGATTTTAACACGTTTGGAAGAGGGCCAAAATTTTATGAATTTAAAGATTAATCCATGATGGTAGACGCTAATGGTAGTAATGGTAGACGCTAATAGCAGATTAATTCACGATAGTCAAATGCTTTCCCAAAATTCAGAAAGCATGTCAAGACTGAGATTTTTTTAGAAATATAATCTGCATTTTTATGGACCCAGTTAACAGTTGATGAATGAACTGTGCTATGGCTTTTGTAAAAACCCGAATTAGGTGCCGCTGATGAGATTATATTTCTCTATACGCTTTATGCGCTGTGTTAGATGTGTTTGAGAGAGTTTATTTAGGGAAATATTTCCTTTATTTAGGGAAAGTGATAACGACAGCATCCTTTCCCTGCTATGGAATCATTTATTATTTCATTCTGTTTTGATTGTAATTCAACTAGTCTCATACTAACATTGGTAGAGTCTTCATGCAATGGAAATTTTAGCGATAGAATGGTCTTTCTATACGAACACATCTTTCTTCTTTTAAAATAAGGCAAATTAATTCACTGTGAATAGGCAGAAAATTATGCTCTATAATATAGTCGATTATTTTGAATAAAATCTGTTTTCTATTGCAGTAATACAAGATTACTATCATTAAACTCTTTGTTTAGAATACAACAGTTAAAACAAGACAATATATCATTGTCGTAGCGTTCAATTTTGGTGGATCTGACACTAAAGAAACGCTTTCTGTACTTGCTTATAGGTTATGCAGACGATCGGTCATCGAACATTACATTCCTACCTAATTCTAACATTGAACAACAGTTCAATTTGAAATCCTTGTTCCTGTGCAGCAATAAGGGCACCTTACAAATTAGTTGGCCATGTAACTTCAACTGCATTTAGCTGTTGCCGTCAAATATTAGACTTATACATTAGCAGAGAAAGGACGACTTCCTGCAGTGCGTTTAGAACACATTTCAGTCATTTTCAGTTAATATTTTCATTTGGTTTTATTTTTTTAAAAATTCATTTATGAACCATTAATTTCTTTTGGTTCTCAAAAACTGGCACTAACGGAGGGGCTTAGTGTATGTTCATAAAAGTGAATATACCGTACTCATCCACTATTATACTAATGGAATAAGTAACTGTTTAGCACTGTGAACGTTGAAGTAAAGTTCATGTATCTTAAAGGTGAAAAACATTTTAAGCAAGGCAAATAATTTTTTTTTGTGTTAGAAGAAAGAGCATGGTTAACGACGTAGGAAATCTATAACCTAAATTATTTTTTTCATATTTTAAAAGAAACGTGTT